CTTTAAACTTTGTACACACATTGAGAAGACATGAGATTTGGATTTGCTCAATTTTCAGACCAAAAAACTAAAAATCGTCAATTTTAGACAACTTTTCTCAAAAACCGTGTTTTTTGGTCGTCACTCAATGAACAGTGGTCAAAACAATAGATAAATATTTTTGCAGAATTTTCTGTAATGTAATCGTATTCTAAACATAATAGAGTATTCAAAAAAAAAGTTTTGAGTCATTGGGTGCATTTTTGGCATTTTTGTGCCACTTTCGAAAAAAAATTTAGAAAAAAAATTTGATAAATTGTTTGATATCTTGGCCAATTATAATCCGATTTTGGTAAACTTCACACACGTATAAGATTTTATATTTAAGAGTAAGCTTTCGAAGTGGCATTAAATAAATTTAAATACTTTGGCCGTTATAGGCAAACAATGAAATTAGGCTTGCGGTACATTTTGCCCTTCCGCCATATGCCCAATTTTGGGATTTCTCTTGCCCCCTTCTGGGAGTCAATAGTCACATCCCTTAAGTTCAAAACGAATTTTTGTTTCTTCAAATATCTTAATTTTTACCAAAGTTATGAAGAATTTAGTGTTTGAACATTTAACAAATTCAATTTTTCGACCTTCGCCGCCTCAAAATACTAAACAAATTTCAATCGTCCATACCGCGAGAACGGTACATCCGATCAAAATTTCTTAGGAGACATAAAAATTAGTATTTTTTTCTAAGCTTTCAATTGTCGTAAACTGCGTTTTAAAAATAATGATTTATTTGCGACATGCGCATGCGCAAAATTGAAAAATTGACAAAATCTTAAATTTCGGCACTTTCTAAAAACTGCTACATTTTGTTTTGCCTTTTTCTGAAAAGATCACCTCAAAATACATAGAATCCATTTTGTTTCATCTAATTAAAATTTAATGTAAGCTCAAAACCGGTAATTTAATTCGATTATGAGGAACTGATGACGTCTCCTCATAGTCACTGTTAGTTTCATTAGCATCAGAACTTTTGTTAGCATCAGAACAGAGATAAGAGGGAAAATATTCGTCATCATAGATATCTGGTAGCTGATGAAATGTTGAAATCGGTATTTCATCTGGGTGCGGGATAGGGCGTATTGCCGAGTCTATATTGTGATAAGTCCACTTACTGCGATTATTTCGATTGATTCCTTTAGTATTTACTAAACAGAAATAACAATCGTTGAAGTAGTTTTTTGTTTCTCTCCAAACCATTGGTACGCCGAATTTTAGATATTTTATTTTCCCGGTAGTCCACTGCCGTAAATGCTCTGTACAAGTTTTACATACGAAATGCAGGGCCCACTTTTTATCCTGATCACCAAGGTTAACTCCAAAATATTCAAGATACGCTCGCTTTACAAAGTCAGTAATAGTTTGTCTGTTTTTTTGAACCATGTATTCTCCACACATATAGCAAAACACATCAGGTTGATTTACACAACTTCTTCTTGAACTGGAACCTGAACTCATTTTAATTCTGTTCAATAAAACAAAAACACTCTTTTCTTAACATAAAATAACACGTCGAATTCGATCTACTCTCATTAGTAAGAACGCACAAACTGACGAGACTGACCCGAGTTAGGGGATTAAAAGGGTCAGTTCAGGTACCTGATAGGCAATGGTTCCACTATTTATATATTTACCTGGAATTTACTCAATTACAGACTGACAATAAAACCATTGTACATACATTAATGAATATATAATACACTCTCGTAAATGAATATACTGAATAAGAAACACATTGGTAAATAAGTTGATGTATCTAAAAAAGTAGAGCTGATAGAGAAAAACGGATTGAATGTACATATTAAGCATCCCATATATAGTTAAAATCAGCTCTAAAATCCCAGGCACCAACAAAAAATTTTTTTCTAGCCCTCTATTATCCATAAATTCTAAAAAAAAAAAATCAAAAGTAACACTTTCATAAGTACAAAAGTATCGTATATAACAAAAAGGAACTTTAAAGGTACCTGTGTTGCATTATTTAATTTTTTAAGGTAGGAACCCAAGTAACAATTTGATATTTTATAAAAGCTGAAAAAATGTTTACAGAACAAAATTTATAAAATAGAATATTAGCTAAGAACATTTCCGGAACATTCTTTCAACAGTAATAAACACAAAATGGGCGCAGTATTACAGTACTATTTGGTTCTTTTGTAAATTCTATAGGATTTGTTGAATGCAGTTACCGAACAGTTACTACACATTTACACAGACTTTAAACAAATGTTTTTTTAAACTTTTATAACTGTTTTATAAATTTTCAATTTTGAGGTTAGGTTGCATATCAAAATCAGTAACATTTTAGTTTTTTAAATGTATCTGGTGAAAACAAATTAATTCTATATTTGTCATAAAAGTAAATTCAAGGCGATATTAGTAAAATGGCAGTATCTACTTAAGAGATATCTATAACGCGGTTTAGACGTAATGTATGACCTACAATAAAGTCGTTTTTGGATGCGCAGCAAGAATTACTGTTAATTATATAGCACATACAATACTAAATTTTTAAGCGCCTCGAGTTTGATTCATATTTCTAATACTTTTTCAGTGTGAAACAAAAATTAAATTTATGAAATTTGATTTTTTTTTAGTAATAAGATTATGCTAATATTACTAATGATTAAAATCTTTAATTAACATTGGTTTTGTCTTAAATACTAGTAAAACCGACAGTAGATTTAGCCTTAAAACTGTCTTAGGTTTTTGTTAAATATGGCAGCTATTCAGAGGTATTAGAAAGTTATTTTAAGACTGAATCATAATTATAAAATATTATTGTAGTAAAAACAGCTGTAATACAATAATTAAGTTGTACTACTCATTTCTACAAAACAAGTTCATCATGGTTTGTTGTATAATAGTTTCATATTGCTGCACTATATGACAAAATATAACATAACCTTACTAAATCATTTCCGATTTAAGTATTTGGGAATTGAAATGATTAGATTTGTTCCTACAGCTTTATAGAGCAAGCATAATTTTTAATATTATGAGAATAAGCAAATTTAACATGGACATCGCCAAAAATATGGCTTTCTTTTAGTATTGGGGCATGATTATTCAGAACATACCTAATTATTATCTGGCTAAATGATAGTTTTTTTTTTTAATGTCTAGACAAACCATCAAAATGTTTTACTAATATTTTTTACTGTTCTCTGAAAAGCAGGTACCACTTATTTTTTATATTTCTTCACTATTTAAATCTGACATTTTCAGACCATACACTTACATACAATTGGTATGGGAAGTAGTCGAACAAACATAAAATACAAAAATAATATGGCGTAGGTACTACCAAATGTAGTTGCTTTATTTTTTTATAAATATTTTTAAAGGTATAATACTATTCTTAACTAAAATAATTGCTATACAGTTTTCTGATTTGTAATAGTGTATTTCGACAATATATTACAGTTATTTTAGAGTTTTCATCAGAAGCAAATTGCTATTGATGCGGAATTATCTCACACTAATATTTATATAACTATTTTTTAAAGCGTTATTATGAGGTTAAGAAACAGTTATATTTGTATGACCAAAAAGTTCTAAAGGTAATCCAGAACAATAATATAGAATAACTATAAAGCAATTTTATTTTATAAGCTGAAATATTGTATAGAACAGTTGTATAAATGTTTATGTAACAATTTCATAGTTATCGTGAAAACTATTTTATAATTTTGCTGTAAGAATATTGTAAAAACTAATTTATATAACTATTTAGTTTCAGAGAACAAAATAGTGATTTCTGCAACTGTAGTACAATAAATTAGCATTCCAGAAACAACAATATAATATCAATAAAATATAATAGTCTTGTAAACTAAAAATTATAAAGCTACTTTGTTAGTTGGGAACTTACCTTATGCAGTATGTTTCATAAAGTTAAATTTATATGGGATTTTTTTTAATATTCCAATTGGAAATAACATCGTATGGCATTTACCTCTGCTTTTTTATAAATTTTAAATCGCCATTATTAAAATTGCATTTTTTTTTTTATTTTGAAAAATTTTTTGCTGTTTTTTTTTATATTAATAAATACTGATATATTTTCTTGATATTTTGTATACATTTTCCCTTCTATTAGTATTGGGAGACATGATTCTGTTAATGGATCAAATCTCCCCCAGTAGGGGACAGATGGTACAATTTCAATAATTTCTACGAATAATATTTAAAATTATAATTCGTTTACTGACGTAAAGGTATTTATTGACAACTGATATAAATAGGGTCACAGAAAATTTTAAATAAGAAAAATATGAGTTGAAGATGAAAGTGGTAATTAATTGTCCCGAGTTTTAATAATTAATTTTTTGTTAATTTTCCCGAGCTGTGACCTATTTTTTTTTATAATTTAACTTTGACATATGATTGAGGCTACGCAGTAATCATACACCGGCCATTTTTTTTGTTGAATTGTTAATGGTTATTAGCCATTGTAAGGTACGAGGATAAACTTTGGTATCATTATTTTATTGATTTTGTATTGTATTATTTTTATACTCAATACTCGTATATGAGTAGCTAACTTTCAAACGCGATCCATTTCTTATTTTTTGAAATCTAGGTTTTGCGCGCGTTAGCAAGTTTCATCTTCATGTTATTTAATTTTTAAATCAAAAACGTTCATTTACGAACGAGTCCCATGGTTTTATCCTTCAAAATATTCAGGTTTTGATCAAAGACGAACATGTCCACTGCTCAATTTCAATCAAAGACAAACATGTCCAAAGCAGCCAATGAGCGTTGAATATTGTAATCACGTGACTTGTCTTCACCTTCTCATATTATTTCATCCATTTGACAGTTTCAGTATCAAAAATTATAAGATGTGTGACATTTTTTAATAATATAATTTATTAAGAATTAATGAGAAATTAATATTGAAAAACTTTTAGACAAGAAGTCAAACTTTTTTTTAAGTGAAATTTACAGTTTTTAGTACTATGGAGGACATTGAGAATGATGTATCAGTATTGGTAAGAGATGGAAACATAAGTAGTAGAAAACGACAAAGTACGGAAAGCAGAAGTTCTTTGAGAAAAAAGAAATTGTATGCTAAACCTAGAACTTTAAATACTTTTATTCCTTGCACTCATCAAACAAAATCATTTTTAATGTGTCAAGTTTATTTCACCTATGCTTTAGAAATCAGGAATAGAATCTACAGTGTACCAGACAAAATTGGCCAAGAGAAGATGGTTTCAAACTTCTTGATACTTGCAAAAGTGGTTCGTAGTAGACAACGCCCTAACCGGACGAAAGCAGCAAAGCATAGATTATTCAATATGAAATACACTCTTCGGCCACACTATTTATGTCTGCAAGAACTTTTTTCTTTATATAGTTCAAATGAAATCTACACGCTTGTAAAGCCTTTGGAAAAAAAAATTTGGTTATGGACATCACAGAAAACAGGGGTGGTGATACAAAAAACACATACATTGGATCCCTACCTGCTGATGAGAGCCACTATTCTAAAACCAAATATAAGAGAGTATACCTTAGATGTAAATATCAAGAAACTTCATGAAGCATACAATTCCATGACTAAAAACGATTTGCAATGTTTCGACGTGTCTTCAACAAGGACTTTAATATTGTATTTAAGAGTTCAGCAACTGACGTGTGTAGTTAGTTACATAAACAATGCTATTGATAAAGCCAAAATTAACTTGCCATTACAACTTAGAATTCATGCTGTTTATGAACTCATGAAAGAAGAACATGAAGAAGACATTATTTACTGCTTTGACATGCAACAAGTGCAGTAGTTACCCAAAACTGCTATTCAAGAAGCATTTTATGCTCGGCAACTTTCATTCTATAAGATGTTAAAAATACTAACCCAATATTCTACACTTGGACTAAAGAGCAAGCTGGGAGAGGGTCAACTGAAGTTTCTTCAGCTATCCTGAACTTCTTGGAAACATGTGATTTTAATGGAAAAACGGTATTAAAGCTCTTCTGTGATAGATGCGGAGGACAAAACAAAAATAACATTGTTATCCACACACTAATGTACTTCCTTTCGATCCACCAAGGTCCTATCAAAGAGATCATCATTACATTTCCTGTTCGAGGCCATAGTTTCCTCCCAGCCGACAGTGTTTTTGGAAGGTTAGAGAAACTTCTTCGGAAGAAAACTACTATGGTAACAAAAGAAGAGTATTATGAGCTATTTAAGGAACTTGGAGTCGTAATGCAGTTGGGAACAGATTGAACACTGAAAGACACCAAAAGTAACTCTACACATCTAAAGAACATAGAGAATATAAGCAATAAGAAAAGAATTGACTTAACAAGAAAGACAACAAAGTCTGGAAAAACTAATATTACAGTCCAAAGCAAATGAAAATTTCAGATTCGAGCAAGAATATGAAAAATACATTTCACTTCTGAAGAGGGGTCGTCAGTGGGGATCTGATTCTTTTGTATTGGAAGACAAGCAGTTGGGTCACATGATTTCGGATGCAAAGAAAAAAGATATAAATGATTTACTGACAGCTTTATATGGCGAATGGACAGAAATAGATAACCTAAACTTCTACAAAGACATTATTGATGATAAAAATTTGACTATTGTTAATAATAATAATGATGATGTTAATGAAAGATGGGACTGCTTAGAAGATTATTGTTGTGGGGTGCATACCTGACAAGATTGAATAATTCAACACAGAAAATTAATTTGATTTAAATTTTAAAATGAAAAAATATCTGTTCTTTACCTAAGTAATATTATTATGTTCCAAATTTAAGTACCTATATGTAAAAAATAAAACTTGAACATTACTCTATTGTTTTTTATTGCTTCCGATCAAAAACGAATTTGTCCTTTCAAACGTGAAATTGTCCAAATTATTCAGTCAAACGCGAACTTGTCCAAAATAAAAAATTAAGTTAAACAAAAAATACAATAAAATGTTTTCAATGGTTATTAAAAATAATATCTATGACATCTAAATGACACCTTAATTTCCTCTTAGATCAGAATCAATTATTTGTTTTACCTGTAAAATCCTTTTAAAGTGACTAGTTCGCGTTTTAAAGTTAGCTCCTCATATTTGTCAACGTTATTCTGGCGTATTACTGAGGTAGTATTAATTTCCTTGTTTACTCCCCTCTTATTTTTTAGCTGGTGAGTAATTCTTTTCAAGCGCAAGTAACGATTGAATTCCGTTGCTTGAGGCTTGTTATTACCTATGTCTAGGTGATCTTTGATCCCTGAAACTTTTCGTCTCCATCTGTAGCTACCCTAGTACTTTCGACGCTGCTTTGAGAATTTGTGAAGTGAATCACATTCAAAAATGTAGCGCATGAAAGCAGGATGTAATAAACACCATTAGTATGGAACCGTTTCCTCTGTGGTAGGAAAACTCCTTGCACAATGTTAAAACAGAAATTATAATACAGTTTTGTAATAATTTGTAGGTACTAAACTTAATTAACATAATTTCTAAAGAACCAACCCTATCCTATAATCGGATTTATCTGTTGGATAGAATAATAAAAAAAATGTTCGAAACCCAAACCCCTCGTCTACGTGCGACCTTGGTAACTACCTTTACGTGTAAGCTGCCGTGTGATTAGGAACTTTATAGACTATTATTCCATACATTCTGGTTCGAGATTTATCCCTTCAAATTACTCTTGTAAAACTCTTAATGTAGCACAAATGATATGTAAGAGAAAATGCCCTCCAAGCACGCCAAAGTTAATTTTTCTCAAATTGTCTGTTTTAGATGCCAGGGGTTAATGTCAATAACAGGGTGCGATGTTTAATGTTCACATAAACTCCTTCTATGCATGTACCTATTTAGAAGTTTTATATTATTATCGGTATACGGAAGTGTTTTATTTGTAGATAGACGTTTAGGAAATGTGGTAGCATGACTGCATGGACATTTTTGAAATGAATTTTGAAGGTCTGTAATTTGAAACATTTTAATAATAATAGTCTTTTAACACTTTGACTGCTAAGCGAATTTTCGGTTTTGGTCGGCTCAGGCCAAGACAATATTTTTCTAAAGTTGGAGTTCATAGTGATGCCAAATTGTAGTAAACTACTTTTTATCCTCTTTAATACAGTTTTTTTAGGTTTTTTGATGGTGTATCGCTAACGATACACCTTGCCTGAGACGTTTCTTTTTTCCGTGGCAGGCCGGGTTTATCCTTAACGATACACCATCTCTAATCGGAGATTTTGTTTCAGGTAAGCCAGTAGAAGAAAAGTGAAAAAGGACAAGTAAGAATTTTGAAAAAAAGGCGGAAAATGACAACTAGTAACAAAGTGAATGAACATTTGTAAGTGACTTAGTAAATTGTGAACTGTACAGTGAACAAGTAAACACCATATTAACCAGAAGAAACCTAAGGGATGACGAACTTGCAAGATAGGTATCTAGACAAAATGAGTGAGGAAAGCATAGACTCCAATGATGATCCTAATTACTCCCCAGATAGTGACAGTGACAACCGTAGTAGTGACAATCATAGTGATGATTCTGACACAGTGAACACACATCGAGCATCAGTTGCTGCAGCTACACCGGCTTCTCCAATTCCAGGGACATCTGCTGCGTCACCAGTTCCAGGCGGATCTCATTCTCCTCTACTTCCACATACTTCGACAGATGATTATCAAAATATCGTTTGGAGTGATCCCGTTGGAAACCAACAAAACATTCCTTTTACTGGAAATAGCGGCATGGATTCTACAATCTTAGCACTAGCTGAGCCAACTGACTACTTCGAATTATTTTTTACACCCGAAATAATAAATATAATGGTAGATGAAACTAACCTTTATGCTACGCAAGTACTTGAGAATGATTCTGATGTCCCAGCTTCTTTACGTCTTCACAATTGGACACCCACTGACTCAAAAGAAATGAGACAATTTGTTGCTTTGCTGGGCTATATGGGCGTTGTGAAGGTACCCGAACTAACCGATTACTGGTCCAAAAGTAAATTGTTTTCATTCGAATTACCAAGAACAGTTATGCCTAGAAATCGGTTTGAAATCTTGCTTAGATTCTGGAATTTCGCTAATAATGAAGATGCAGTTCCAGGAAATCGAATTCACAAAATTGAGAAAATTTTCGACAAATTCGTAGAAAACTTCAAGAAAGCCTATACCCCAGAAGAGACAGTATGTATTGACGAAACAGTAATTCCGTTTAGAGGAAGGCTGTGCTTCCGTCAATATATCCCTTTAAAACGATATCGCTACTGTAATGTTTGGAGTAGAGAACAACAGACAACAGCTAGTGTGGTAATATGAAGGCAACACTTTTCGAAGAAAGGTTTTATTTAATATAGTACAACTAGTAATAATTGATACAGGCACTTCGACCGCAAGCCTGTCACAACTGACAACTAATGATATATGACACGCTCTTTACAAAAAAAAAAATAAAAATAATAAAACTGAAAGTTAACAACTTTTAGAATAAAAGGTTTTAAAAAAAAAAATAAACTAAAATATAAATTTTAAATCTAAGTAAGGTGACCGCTTGATAACCGATACTCTGGATCATTGGTAACTTATGATGTTCGTAGTGGTCTAATCATCTGTCTATTTCTACGATATTCAGCTTCTCCTATCTCAACTATATAGTCGTTAGGGCCGGATTCCCTTACAATTTTTGCAGGAACCCAATCACGAGTACCTTTTTGAACCAAAACTTTTTGTTCTTGTATCAATTTTGACAGCTGCTGGGTAGAATGGTTATAGTAAGTCTCTTGTCTGCATTGTTTGTCTTCCAATGTTTGTTTTATACCTTCCATTGAGAAATTAGGTTTTAGAAGAGTTTTCGGGACAGGTAATGTAGTTCTTAATCTTCTGCCCATAAGAAGTTCACTTGGTGATGGTAATTGTTCCTTGGTAGTGACATTGTAATTTAATATTGCTAGGAATGGATCTTCGCCATCCTGGTATGCCTTTGTTAATAAACCTTTGACAGTTTACACTGCCCTTTCTACCATCCCGTTAGATCTAGGGTAAAGAGGACTAGAAGTATTATGTTTTATATCATAGTTTTTAGTGAATTCTAAAAATTCGTGAGAATTAAAGGGCGGGCCGTTATCAGAAAATATTTCTTGGGGTATTCCGTGGTTCGTAAAAGCATTTTTTAATGATGATATGATTGTTTCTCCTCTTTTGTTGGTTAATTTATTTGCTATTATAAATTTGCTGTAATAATCAATAATAACTATAAAATTCAATGTGCCTAACGACTTGAAATCGATTCCAATTTTTTGCCACGGAAGTTCCGGAACTGAATGAGAATGGAGAGGCTCCCTTGGATTTGTCTTGGAATATCTTTGGCAAGTTATACACCTTAAAACAGTATTTTCTATGTCTGAAGATAATCCAGGCCAGTATATGCAATCTCTTGCCGTTCTTTTACAGGCAACGACTCCTTGATGACTTTTGTGTATCAAGTTTAAAAATTCTGCTTTCAAACTGTCAGGAATTATTAACCTCTTTTGATAAAAAATTAAATCATTGTGACAAAATATTTCGTGTCTAATTTGCCAGAAATGTTTCAAAAGTGGAGGTAGGTTGCCTTTATGTGATGGCCAACCATTTAATAGATAATATTTTACTTTTTGGAGCATAGGATCTGTAGAAATTGCTATTTTTAAACGATTTTCGTTCTCTTCTGAGGTTGAAAGAATTGAATAAATTTTTAGGTTTGTGTCGACATAGGATGTGTCGATGAAGGTATTAATAGGATCTCTACTGAGTGTATCAGAAAGTTGTTGATTTTTTCCAGGAACGTAAACTAATTCAAATTGGTATCTCAATAAACGAAAAGTAAGGCGTTGAATTCTAGGAGATAGGTCTTCAAAAGGTTTTTTAAGCAAGCCTAGTAATGGGCGATGGTCTGTTTGAATAGTGATATTATTACCAAAAGTAAGATAATGGAATCTCTCACATCCGAATACTAATGCTAATAGTTCCTTTTCAATGTGAATATAATTTTGCTGCATTTGCGTCAAAGAAACTGACGCAAACTCTATTGGATGTCCATCTTGTAGAATTACCGCCCCTAAACCGAAAGGACTGGCATCAACCGATAGAATAATGGGTTTTTTAGGGTTAAAGTAAGCTAGCACCGGTACTGTAGAAACTAAAAATTTTAATTCTTTAAACGATTTTTCTTCATTTAGGTACCACAGCCACTCTGATTTATTACTAAGAAGTTTTCTTAAAGTACTAGTTTTTTCAGATAAATTTGGAATAAATTTTGATAGATATCCTATCATACCTAAAAATCGTTGTAAATCATTTTTATTTTTGGGACTTTTTAAATCAATGATTGCTTTCACCTTATTGGGATCAGGGCTTATACCATTTAGATTTATAATGTGACCTAGAAATTTTAACTCCCTTACGCAAATTTTTGATTTCTCTAAATTTAATGTAAGACCGGAATTTTTGATCTTTTTCAATGCATTTTCTAGGTTTCTATTATGTTCATCCAAGGTACTACCAAATACTAAAATGTCATCAAAATAAGCTACAACTCCTGATAGTCCAGATAGTATTTCAAGTATGCACCTTTGGAAAATTTCGGGAGATGAGGAAAGTCCATAAGGAAGCCTCAAATATCGATATCTGCCAAATGGGGTTGTCACTGTACATAAAAGGGAACTGTTATGATCAATTGGTATTTGAAGGAATGCTGAAGATGCATCTAATAGTGAAAAATATTGAGAACCAGAGAGCTGGGAAAATATAACATCCTGTGTTGGAATTTGGAAAAATTCCCGTTTAATATATTTATTTAATTTTCTAGGGTCTAAACATAGACGAATATCGCCATTTGCTTTGGGTGCTATCACCAAAGGGTGGACCCAATCTGTAGGTTCAGTAACTGGAACAATAATATTTTGGGCCACCATTTCATCTAACTTTTGTTTTACCTTATCACGTAATGAATATGGAATCTTCCGAGTAGCGGAAATACTGGGTATTGCATTATCTTGAAGTGAAATTTTACAAATTTTTGAAATTTTACCTATACCCTCAAAAATATGTTTATATGTTTGAAGTATGTAATTTACAGAGTCTATTTCTTTGTTAGAAGTCACTGATTCTACTGAAAAGTCCGCATTTATAATATTTAAGTCTTTAGCACTGGTCAGTCCTAAAATTGAACTCGGTATGTTTGAATCTAAAATGTAAAACATCAACATTTTCTGAATGTTTTTATATTTACAGTCAATTAATATTTTTCCACGCACACTAACTTTATGTCCCGAATAAGATGATAACGTGGAATTGGTTTTTGAAATGTTGTCAACACTAATTTTTAGTTTCATAAAGTCTCTAAAATTAAGAATATTGACTTGACTACCAGAATCTATTTTTAGCTTTAAATTATGACCAGCTATTTGTATTAATTCACACCACTCAATAGCGTTTACACTATAGTCTATAATTGTCCAAATAATTTTGTTATCAGTTTCGTAATCTACGTTATTAATATTGATTTGATCAAGATCAAATTCATCTGAGGAATCGTTTGAAAGTTCACGAACAACGCGATTTTTACAAAACTTCCTAAAATGACCCATTTTGTTGCAACGACCACAAAAACGATTAGTTGCTGGACACTTACCTAGTTGGTGTTCAGTACCACAATTAAGGCAAAATTGCATCATACTTGACGTTTGAATTTGACCTCTACCAAACCTGTTCATTTTAAATCGTTCACTTTGGCAAATGGAGTCCTGAGACCGACCTTGTCGCCAGTTGTCATTTCCCTTTCTGGAAGTGTCACAATTACAAGCATATTTTGATGGTTTATTTTTAGGATACGCCGCTTCAACCGCTTCTACTGATGCTGATTCACCACCAATTTGTTTTTGTGTGAACAAACTATTTTCCATGGACTGACAAATCTGAATAGCTTCTTCAAGTTTCATTTCACTATTTTCTAGTAATCTCGACTGTATACGTTGATTTCGAATACCAATTACAATTCTGTCTCTGATTAAAATGTCTTTTTCAGCGAACTCACAGGTACGTGCGAGTTCCTTCAGAGCTGTTACAAACTCGTCAATGGTTTCACCCACTTCTTGGTTTCTTTTAAAAAATTTATAATGTTCATAAACTAACTTCTTGATTGGATTACAATGTTTTTCAAACTTACTTAAGATAACACTTAGTTTTGTCGATTCTTCTACGTCTGAATATTCAAAATTATTGTAAATAGTTAAACCTTCATCACCAAGAAGATTTAGGAGTATAGCGATCTTTACTTCATCTGGTTTTTTCTCTTTTCCGCTTGCTAACAAGTATAAGTTGAATTTTTGTTTCCAAAGCCTCCAACTTGCGGCTACATTTCCTTTAAAGCTCATCGGTTGAGGAGCATTCCCTTCTGCCATTTTTTAAACTGGGATACTCAACTTTTTAATGCAATAAATCCACATATAGAACCGTTTCTATAACTCAGAAGTGAGTCTCAAAACCTCACTTTTTATTTTACCTTTTAACGCGATTTAAAACCGCTTGCCACCATGTAATGTTTGGAGTAGAGAACAACAGACAACAGCTAGTGTGGTAATATGAAGGCAACACTTTTCGAAGAAAGGTTTTATTTAATATAGTACAACTAGTAATAATTGATACAGGCATTTCGACCGCAAGCCTGTCACAACTGACAACTAATGATATATGACAGCTATGGCGTAAAACTCTACAAACTATGCACTGGCAGAATGCTTCGATTTACGTCGGTAGAGATCAAACTGAGAATAAAGCCATACCAGCATCGAGAAATGTGGTGCTCTCTTAAAAGATCTCATGAATGAAGGGCGCACTTTTTATGTCGATAATTTTTACATGAGCATACCACTTGCCTGTGAGCTTCTTGAACATAAAACACACTTGTTTGGAACTGTGCGAGCTAATAGGAAACACATACCTAAGTCTATACAAGAAGCCAAACTTGCTAAAGGTAGTATTATAGCCAAATAATCTTCTGAGGGTATTAAAGTATTGAAATGGAAAGACCAAAGAGACGTTCGGATGATTTCCACATGTCATTTAGGAACCGAAACAGTTGTTACTTCAACTAAACGCGGAGTCGAGAAAATAAAACCTAAATGTGTTATCGATTACGATAAGAGGAAGTCTTCAGTTGACGTCAGCGATCAGTTGGCTTCATATAACACGGCCCTGAGAAGATGCAACAAATGGTATCGAAAAGTTCTTATGGAATGCTGTGGGGTACTTCCCTTGTAAATGCGCATTTTTTGTATAGCCAACATTGCGTCAACAGTAACGGAATGAGTATAACTGATTTTAGACGAAGCGTTATTTTGAGACTGCTAGCAGAGAATCCGAAGTTTTCTCGAGCCATAAAAGAAGACGTGTGCTCACCATTTGATAACACGTGAAGACAAGAAGAGAGCAAGATGTGCAAGATGCTATGAAATGTATGGTAAAAAGGGTAAAATTGTCGACGGGCATAAGAAGATGGCGGCGTAGGTTATTACCATTTGCGACGCATGCGAGGGCAACTCCTATTTTTGTCGACCATGTTTCAATGCGAAACACTAATTTTTATTATTTTTATTCAGTTCAGTTATTTTTCAGTTCAGTTTCTATTTGGATAATTTACTATCCTAATTACTTCTTAGTTTTGTAACTTTAGTTTAGTTTTTCTAATGGGAAATCCCTATTTTTGTTGACCATGCTTCACTGCAAAACACTACATTTTATTTACTGATTTATTCCTTGAGGTCAGTTTTTTTTGTAATAATACAGCATTTTTACTATGGTACCTACTTAGTTTTGTCAGTTTAGTTTAGTTTTTTTTTTTATTTTACAAGAACCATACACATTTTTAACAAATAAATATTTAGAATGAAAAATTCGTGTTTGATTGCCCTCAATTCATAGGCCTAAATAAAAAAAAGTCCTTGTTATAAAACTAAACAATATTCTTTTACGCTCCATGCAGGCCAAAGTTCCATATGCCAAGGTGTTCAGCCAGGCCAAACGTTAAAAACTGCAATGCTAAACATACGGAAAGGTATGCGCTAAAGATACACCGAGTTCCTAAACAACTGGGTATGTGGTGAATCGCTAGCGATACACCCGGTCTGACACTATCCGGCCCGGTGTATCCTAGCGATACACTTGGCAGTCAAAGTGTTAAAAGTTATTCGTTCATTAAAATTTATTAGCCTAGTAGTTTGAATATTAGTAACAGAGACTATAAACGAAAATGGCGATAGAATAGAGAAAGAAAAAATATTTGACAGAAATAATCCAACCGCTATATATAAAACAAGCCTTTGCCGACTGGTCCATGCATGTATATTTCAATAATGTTATACTTTAAAATACATTTGTTATGTAAATCATTTTTCGGGCACCTACTCGTTATTATGTAATAAAAATTGGACTTGTAAAAGAGGAATATGAGAGTAGGTACAGGTTCTGACCCCTTCATAAAAAAATTAAACACCTGGTTGCTGAAAGGCGTATAACTGGTAGGTACATTATAAGTAATAAATGGAATAATAATTTCTCTTTTTTGCTAGAGAATAAAAAATCAAACAGATGAATTGTTACATATACGTTTTAAGTTGTTGATGCCAGGTGGTGTGTTTATAATATTGAAAGTGGAAAATAATTAACTAAAAATGCAATTGAAAGGAAATAATAAAAAATATTAATATTGCTAATGTATGTTTGTGTCATATTTTATTTTTAAATTAATGTCGCCTTAATCTTAATATGTGTGTCTATTTATATGGAATAGCCCTTTAAATTCCAAAGGAATAAAATATAACTTTTTGGTAGGTTCAAATTTTTAATAAAAGTATTTTTCTTTTCTATTTATTTTTAGTCCCTTCACAACATTTTTTCCAAATGCTTATCTCCGTTTTGTCATCATTTCTGTTTTAAATAAACTTTATTTCCTTTTTGAGTCCCTTCTATTTATTTCTAATTAATTAATTTTTTTCTTAAACCACTCGATTTTCAAAAAATTATATTTTTTTTAGAATTCTGATCAACCAAATATTGATTAGTAAATTTTAAAAATATAATATTGACGATATCATTAATTTACCCTATTATTTTCTTATATTGTATCAAAAAGCAACGTGCTAGATCCTGTCCTTCTCTATATAGTAACCTGATACCAGATAATTAGAGCTTTTAGTTGTAAACCAGACATTATCAATAACTAACTAACTTTTTATGCACCCACAGGTATATATGCTAGTCTACACACTGACTACAAAACAGAAAAATATGCCATTGCCATCATCTGAACAAATATATTTCATATCCATTCTATCTAGTAAGAACACTGTACAAATATGAAATTCACCATAGTTCATATTTTGGTCACCCGGCTGCATATACGTATAATACTGCAGACGCACAAGGTATAGCCAAACGACTCGGAAATGTTCGGCTAGGATCGAAGCAGAAGCTGCACGCTCGTAAACTGGAGACATAGATGGATCTTAATACGTCTGCAATTTGCATTATTGCGTTATTTCGTCAGCATCGGTGTAACTTATAAACAATGGAAAATTTTATAGTTCCAGAGGGTTACGAATACATTTATATAAATCAAAGTAGTTTTAGAACAAAACTACAATCTAAAGAAGACGTAGAGGTTAGTATATAATGATATTCAGCATTGAATTGTGATTTTTTGTGTATTAAAAAAATTAAATACCTATTAGGTATGTGCAGAGTGATTAGGGCATAATATTATAATGTTACCGCCCTTTATCTTGGTCAATTTTTGAACTGCAAAAAAAAGAAAAAACCGAAATGTAGGGCCTTTAGCGTAGCTTTTGCGCACGTAAAAAACAAGAAAAAACAATTAATATTCAGGGTGTTTCATTAGGAATATTTTAATAATAGGTTTGGGACCTTGAAAATATATTTTTTTTTTGTGTCATCGGCATCAACTGCTACGGTTATTAGCCTTGTGTTCTGTGTATGCTTTGTTACTGTTTCCCAGCGCCACTTTAGGAACAGCACTGTTAATTAGTACCCAACAGTGAATGGTCGAGTGGAATATAAATGTTATCTACTACTAAGATAAAGTAACAATGTATTTTTGTTTTTCTTTATTATTTAACATGCGTCCCAGGACGAGTTAAAACTATCTGTATATGGAAAAATACTTATAGTATAATAATGAAAACTTCTAGAGTTAGGTTATTGATTACGCTCTTTTTAACTAAGATATTTTTAAAAATTGCCGACTTTTGGTTCTACCGGAAGTCGACTGTAACTTTGTTATTTTCAATAGAACCTTTTCTATATTAATATATTTTTAAAATCTACGTGAAATTTTAGGGTACTTTTGTCTAAAAACTTTTTTCGAAAAATGCATAGTACTTATTGTGTTAAAATTTTTTTGTAAAAAATTTGACCGATGCAGTCCCTTATAAATTATTTCTTTACGAGGATACCCCTAAAGATATAAAAACAGTTTCTATTGGGTGGCTACTAGCAAGGTTAGAGGTATTTAAACCTATCGAAAAAACACTTTATTTTATACAGGGTGTGTATAAAAATTGTGCAAAGTTCAAAATTCTTAATTTTTTTAAATAGAACCACTCGGTTTTTTCTATTTTAATGAATTCAGGAGTAAAAATAAGGCAAGTTCATGTTTACTTTCCAATACCTAAACCTAATAATTATGAAGATATTAAAATTTTTAAATAAATTATGTTTCTGCCTTATTCATTAACTCGGTTTTACAAGTTGACTATGTATAATAAATAAATTTACTTAATCTTTAATGTTTAATTTTAAGCTAAAGAAACAAGAATCAAAATTCTCAATTGACAATTAATGTTAAATTTTGATGTACTATGGCAGAAATGTAACATTTTTTAATAGTATCTTCAAAACTATTAGGTTTAGGTATAGGGAAGTAAATATGAACTTGCCTTATTTTTTACTCCTGAATTCATTAAAATGGAAAAAACCGGGTGGTTCTATTAAAAAAAAATAAAGAAATTTGATATTTTTGTTTTGAAGTTTAACTTTGCACACTATTTGTTGCGTTTAAGAAATAAAATAAAAGCTGGTCTTTAGTAGTAGGTAAGTATTCAGATAAAATAAATATGTAATACGAAAGATACTTTTGATTTTATTTTTTAAACGATGTGTTTTTGGATATTTTTATTTTTTTTTGGCATTTTTAGTTATATTTGGGTATTTTATTGTACACATTTCTGAAAATGAAATTGCAATTTATTTTGATGTTTTTTTTTGCAGAACTGGGTACACGATTTAGAAGAAAAAACTAAAGTTACTTATAGAATAACTAAAACATTCCTAGTAGGTTCGGTATGGCCAGTTAATATCTTTAAAAAAATCTACCACTGCCATTTTAAAACTAGAACGGAAGAGACGCATTTATCCCGAAGCAGAAATACTAACTGTGCTCATCAATTGTATGTTAAAATTGAACGGAAACTTCTAAAGTCGAAGTCATAATAATCTTGTTGCGAATTGGCCATGCGTAATAGAATTTAAGAATAACCATAATCATACCATCCTGTCAGCTGCTGCACTTCGCTATAGACCAATAGGAGACGCAGCCAAATAACGTTTTCTTGAATTATTTTAGCATGGACATAATGCTTCTAGTACCTATCACACGTAAGTGTCGAAATGATGGCACATTATGGTAATGAGTATGAAAATTATGTTTCAGATAGATGCTTTTTTCCTACCAAGAATGACATACAAAACCTATGGAAAGCTAATTTTAAAGCATCATATGGAGAAAGATCAGGAGCAAATATGCTGATTTATTTAGAAAAATATTTAGCCTAACAAGTTAAAAATCATGGGATATTGTACAATGTTTCATCCGTTGAAGAATATTATTCAGTTGCAATATGTACACCTGTCATGCAACGCGTAGCGCGATTGGTACCTCAAGCAAATGAAATTATCTTCTTGGATTCTTCAGGTAACTGCGACGTAGAAAGGAAAGCATTTCAGACGGTTTGGCCTAATGCAAATATGTTACTGTGTACCTTTCATGTTTTGAAATCTTGTTGGAAATGGATTACTATGACCAAAAACGGAAATTTGAAAGAACATGCTCAACTTCATTATAAGCTATTTAAAGACATTTTAATGTCGAAAAGAAGCTGCTGAAACAGCTATAATGGTATTTTACGAAAAATGCTTGCATCAGAATTTTGCTGATTATGTAGAGCGCATGCTTGATCGGATTGAGATGTGGTGCTTACTGTACAGAAATGATCTCATGGTACGAGGATAGGATACAAACAATTATACAGAAGTCATGTTTCGTCTCTTAAAAGATATTCCATTAGAAAGAACAAAGGCTTTTAACTTGACGCAACTAACAGATTTTATAATTACTAGTTTTGAGTCTTACTTTATTCAGCGAATTATGGACCTGATCTTCAACAGAGTTTCTAAAGCAGTTGCAAAAAAGTATTTTCCAGATGAAAGGGACAATGAAGTTTATAATATAATTAGTCTTGGAAACATGGATTTAGGGTTAACAGTTCGAGAGATCCAGAAATTTTGTACGACGTAGATATGTCTGTTTTCAAATTTTCATGCCCAATTGGCTATAATGGCCACTGCTGCAAGCACCAAGGGGTTGTTGCAAAAAAACGTAATATATTTACAGCAAATAATACCTTATCACTTTCGTCTAAACATATACTTTATGAAATCGCTTTGGGAAAAATTTATCTATCTACTTTTGATACATTGAAAATTGATAAAAATACAACAAAGAACTCAAACCAGAACATTTTTTCCTGTAATGATTATTCTTCTGTACAAAACCAACAGAATAAGCAAATGTTGATTCATGATGACGCAAACAATGATGCCATGGAATTTGATGAAAAGGAGAATATTGACATAGAAACAATAAAAATAAATAAACAGCTCATTCGAATTTAATTATATCAAAGCTTGACAGTGAGCCTTAATCTTTCGGACTCGCTATAATGAAATACTTGGACAACTGTAGCAAGTATGCCAAATTAAATCAGTCTTTTATATCAGGCTTGCATTGCGCTTTTAAATACACTGGAGTTTCATCTAAAAATAAGAGGCAGGCAGTATTAAGAAAAGGAAAAAAAATATCCGTACAACCGACTTCAATATCAAGACGTAAAATTACAATGACAGGTAGAAGAGCATCGTTAGTTGGACGAAAACCTGGAAAATCTAACAAAAAACAACAAAAAAAGCACCACACAGCTTGCAACTATGTGTAAAGAGTAACATTGGTCTAGGTGATAATAAGTTTAGGAAATAGGGATTTTCACGAACATTAATATGTATTTAATTTATTTGTATTTATTTGTATATTTATTATTAGTTATTAAAGGAGTTAAGAATGTATACAGCGTTAAATTTACATTTTACAAACAGTATTAACAAAACACGTCTGCCCTTAATATAATGACCCACCGAAGTAAACTGCAGACGTATAAGGACAAACTACGTCTGCACTTTACTACCCTTTCTTATTGGTCGGATAAATATGCCACCCGGCTACTATTGTGTTTACAAATTTTAAATTCGAGAGACGCTAAAATGGTGGTTCCCACCTTATCGAGACTAATGTCTACAAGGGTAAACTAGTAGCGTAACAAAAGCGAGAAATGATTTAACTTGGAACGAAAGACCGAAAGCTGATAGTAGTATTAGGACGTTGAATGTTTTGTTTTGTGAAGCATTGGCATTACTTAGGCTAAACCATGTGATGATTTGCACAAGCCTTGATTTTTAAAACCATTCTATATCGCCTTTTGATTAGGGTTTAAAAACTTGTTCAAGGAATTTATCCAATAATAATTGGCCTCTTTAGACTATTAACAGCTGTTGTTTGACAGGTCGTTAGAGAATGTTTGCAATTTATGAAATGTTGAGAGTGTTAGGAATGTTGACGTTAGAAATAATTGGAATTCCCAAAATTGTCACATAAGAATTGCATAGGCGGATTTTAAGAAAATTGATATTAAAGTAGAGAGGATAAACCGAAAATTCTGAAAATCAATAGGGTTCTGAGTTAGAAGTAATTATTCAAGAAAATCCAAACCGTAAGTCAATCAGAACTTTTGCTCTTGAGTTATTGTGTCGGCATACATACACACAGACGACCAGACGAATTTTTTTTGCATTTTCTTACTTAGAATAATCGGAAACATGAAAAAGTTTTAAAAAATGGGGGTAAGAGAATTTTTTCGTCTTTACGAATGCAATACTGAGGCCCCATAGGAAGGGCCTTAGTAATAAGTGACAATGCTGTCAAACTAATTTTCAATATATTGTTTAGTTGTTGAAATGAAATATACTTTAAAATAAGAGTCTTGTAAAGAATCCATAAATAACAGCATTTTTATTTTGATTTCGTCTATATTTACAAATAAATCATAAATTTTAATAAAACTATACTTTTACTTATCTTTACACCGACATGAAAATAAAAATTATTAGCCAGTTCGTCATTGTTTTTACAGCTCAGTAGATTTAATTCTAAAATGAAATAAAAACGAAACAGTAGACGATAGGTGGTATAATTTGCAATATTCAATCCTTATCTCGTACAGTGTTTGTCCAATTTCCTCTATCCCAAGAGTTCAAAATTATATGTGTGTATCTGGCAAACATTCGTCGAAAGCTAAATTCAATATTCTGGAAAATTTGCAATTTGTATTTCATCAACAGAGATGCGAAGATAATTTAATTATTTTTAATTCTAAAGGGAAATTCAGCCAGAATAGAAATGATTTTAAAATGAAAAACGAAAATAATCATAATACATAGAGAATTGAATAAAAAAAATAGACTATGGGTTATAGGGTCCGGCACTATTTAAATAGGACCAATAAAAAATAAAAAACCCGCTTTGTCGGTCCTAATTGATTACATGCAAGGGTTATACACTATTAAACAAGATAATCTAGTTTTTCACATTTGCTTGTAAAATGCGCTATTGCAAAATGTCGATTTGCGACGTCAGTGTAGAACCTCGAACATATAAAATATATTTTTTTGATTTTGATTAAAAAGAAGAGGTTGTAGATCTATAAAAATTATGCAGAATCAAGCAGAGCTTTCTTTTCATTTTTAATTTTATCATCCTAATAAAACAATAGGGAGGGCCGACGAGAGCCAGGATGGTCCCCGGGACAATTCTCCAGGTCGGGCCCCGCGACAATTTTATAAAAAATTGTACCCTTTTTAATATCACATTTCTAAAAAATGTTCTTCGAGCAAAAACTTCTCCTCCTCTTTACTTGAATTTCTCTAAAAAAAATTTCTTCAAGCCCTGTCCTTCTCTTTACAGAATCTCTAAAAAAAAGGTCTTCAAGCAAATACTTCCCTCCTCTTTTGCCAAACTTCTGAAGAAGTAAAAAACGTTCTCGCCAAAGTTGCCGGGCTCCCCTTATGCTGTTGCCGGGCCGCCACTTGAGCCCTTGCCCCGGGAATTAGTCCCAGCTACCCCCCCCCCTCTTGTCGGCCCTGACAATAGGAAAATAGTTAAAGCAGTTGACTGCTATATACATTAACAATATAGGTATTACTTACTACAAAATTCTATAAGAAATAATTTTTATATAGCGTGTCCCAATAAAATTATGGTATAAAGGGATTATGTCGGTTATGTATTATAGATAATAGAAAAGCCAATTATTAAATATTTGGAAGTTGAACATACTGTAATTAAACTCCTGTTTAACAGTTATATTTAATTGTAGAGGATGTTGTCGAATTTTATGGCAATTATTTTTAACCCGAAATATATTTTTAATTTTCAATTCAAATGGGTTGGCTTTAAATATAGATTTTAATTTTTAAATTAACATAACAGGAAAAATCAAAGAAAAAATGCATTTTCAACGTAAACCATGAGTTATTATGTTAAATTGAAAAATTTAATAGAAATTTAAAAATCTACACAAATTCAAATCATTGCACTTATTTTTACGTGATTTATATTTACTTCATTCAATAAATAATCCATACAATGCTAAAGTGTATTGTATGTATTTTTTTTTAATTTTACAAATTTGATGCGATATTATGGATTTCTAAGTGATGCATAATTTGTTAAATGTATGGTAAATTTTTTTTCAATTTCTGTAAAACGTTTTGGGACACTTTATAGAATAAATAAAGATTTTAAACACGTTGTTAATCAAAATTAATAATTTATAATTTTTTAAGTCTCTTGTATGATCAGGAAAAATGGAAAAAATAAATTTCATAGTCTTAACCACAATAATTATTATTTAAAACGGCAGCTCTTTCGGCACTTTCAAGTCTTCCAAAACCTT